TATACGTCACTGACTTTTTTGTCTTTTGTTGTTTGATTAAAACTTTGTCTCTTGATATTTTGGTCGATTTCGGTCTTCTTGATGAGATAAACACAATTTTATTAGTTCGCCTTGATCTAAGTCTAATAGAAACCTTTAGAAAAAATTAATTACCTTAATACCATTATTCTTTTATTTCAAATTACTGTTGGTTCGACTAATAGTAATAACTTTATTTAGTATTAAAGAATAATTAAAGAATAAAAGAAATAGACCCAATAACCAACAATTACTACATATTACAAAAAAGGTTCAAAATCATCATCAACTAGTAATAATAACTAATAGTAATAATATTTGATAATAAATTAGGTAAAATATATAATTTATTAATTTTATTTTAATTTTAATTTTATTAATTGTGATTAATAAAACTGCGTTTATCTCATCAAGGAGGTCGAATTCAACAAAATATCAAGAGATAACTTTTAATTGGCATTAAACAGCCTATTCAGTGTTGATATTAAAAGAAAAAAAGTCAATGGCACACATTTTTTTTTTGAAAAATATTCCAGTGATATTCCATATGCACGTCCCTGATAAATTTATCGACGCCTTTTTAGCATTAAAATATGTATTATAGTAACTTTTACCCTCACAATTTCATTCGAATCAGTAAAAGTACTTGGAAGAAAATTATAATAAATGGAAAGATTATTAAGACTTTAACACCCTGTAGCCACGAAACATACCAGAATCGAACCTATGTTGATATGAAAAATAAATCTTATTTTTACGTGATTACAGTTGAGGGTTGGAACCTTTGGTGTTAAACAGCAAAATAAAAACACTAAATCACCACAATACACCAAAACACTTTACTTTTACACTGGACGCGCGTTTCGCTAACCATGTTAGCATCATCAGCAGATGATTATAAACTAAAGTACAATCTACAAGTTGAGCGTTTATATACTCGCCCAGTGGGCACCGAGTGGGCGTGGCAAAAACTAGCCAACCAAGTCAGAGCCAACTGAGCGTAACAGTTAGATTTCCGCCACTAGAGTAGTAGGAACAAAGAACTTGAAGGAATTGGACCGTTGTCTCTGTTCATACTATCTTTACATTTATTAATTCTGATGCTTTCATATGCATCTAATTGCCTGTAATTTCAGACTTGTTTAATTAATTTTAAATTATTAAGATCTATACAATGTTCTTTATCAACAATATGTTCGGCAACGCAAGATTTATCCGGTCTACCATATCTTATCTGAGCTAAATGTTCTTTAAATCTAGTTAATATTGATCTTCTAGTTTGCCCAACATATTTCTGATTACAATCTTTACAAGAAATTTCATAAATACCCGACCTTTCCAGTGGAGATGTTTTATCCTTTGGATTAGGTACCTAATAATTGTTGTAATTTATTATTAGCACTATACACAAGTTTATAATTGACATTCTTAAAAATTCCTTTTAGACCACGGGTTAACTCTCTATCAAACGGTATCGAAAAATATTTAGACGTATCTTTCTCCACTTGAAAAGTCGAATTTTCAGAAATCATTAACCTATACCCACGTTTTCTAATTAATTTATCAACTAGTGAAGGATCCATTACAGTCAGCTACATTCCTAATGTAATCTCTTTCTATTTCATATCTTTCGTTGGAAAGTGGGAAACTAAGTAATCTATGAACTAAGAAATTTAAACTAGCCATTTTATGTTCAACACTATGATGTGATTCATTAGGAATATATCTGCGTGTGGTCGTATTTTTCCTATAGATATCAAATTCCAGGCAATTATTAGCATTTCTAATAACTAATACATCTAGAAATGGTAATCTGTCGTTGTTCTCAATTGCATGCGTAAATTTAATGGAAGGAAAACGATTATTTAACTTAGAAATAAAATTATCTATGGTGTCTGAATGTGTGTCAAAAACAGCAAAAATATCATCCACATACCTAAACCAAACTCTTGTAAAATACTCAAACTGATTCTTAGCCTCCACTTCAAACCTGCTCATGAATAAATTAGCCAAAAATGGAGACAATGGATTACCCATTGCTGTACCTTCCCGCTGTTCAAAAGTTGTTATTAAATTGAAAACAATTTTGTTTCATACATAACGATGTAAGCTCAATATATTCAGTCACAGTTTTGTTGTCGAGACCATTTGCGTTCAGTAATTCCTTCAAGTAGCCTAAAGTATGTGGAATTGGAACACTTGGGAACAACGAAGATACATCAAAGGAGACCAAAATTTCACCTTCATGCAATGTTATATCTTTAATTTTGTTAATGAATTCAATATTATTTTTAACTGCGAAAGAAGGTTCATGATCAGGTAAATTTTCGAACTCCCTTGATAACCATTTTGCCAAATTATAAGTCGGAAAACCTACAGCCGATACAATTGGGGGCATAGACTTGTCCGGTTTATGAATTTTTGGCAAAGCATACAATTTTGGTAATGAGGGATTGGATACTTGCAATTTCCTCTTTAAAGAAAGATCAATAAGGGTGTTACATTCTTTTAGAGTTTTTTTAACGTCTGCTACCATCTTAGACAAAGGATTCTTTTTCAAATTTATGTAGGGGCCATTATCGATTAAGTTGTTAACCTTATCGTAATAGTCTTTTTATCTAATATAACAACCTTATTTCCCTTATCAGCTTTTAGGTAGAAACAATCTTTGTTACGCAAACTCTTGACAATATTGTGCTCCTTGTTAGATTTTAATGATTTACTTGAAACGATATTTTTTGATAACTGATTTCTACAAGCCTCTCTTGCAAATACTTTAGAAGCCTCGGAGGGAATCGGAGGAATCTTCCCACGAGAGATGGCACATGCTTTTTGAAACACCCGGTATATAAATCCGTCATGGCGTCGTCTCTTGTTGTTTTTAACCAGTTTTATTGGTTTATTTCAAAAATGACAGATCATATTCCAATAGAAATTATTGGAGTGACGATACGATGAACCTTTTACGGAGGCAGATGCGTATGAACTCGACTTAAAATTTTTGGCTTGTCAAACTCTTGCCAAATTATAGGTTATGATTTGTGTCAAATTATGTCAAATACCTATTTGTGATTTATTTGAATTTGAAATTGAAAATTGAATTTTAGTTCGTGTTGCTAGTTGTGTGTTTTGTGCATAGACAAACAAATAAAAAGAGACTGGCAAAGAGAGGGACAACGTTCCCGTAGAGCTACTCAGAACGCAAAATTTCGTTCTATTTATGTTGATCTGCGCATTGCGTCTATTGGGCCCACTATCTCATTCTAATATAACAAGAGAGAAAGAAGCAGCCATATAAAACGTAATTTCTAAATAGAAATTAGAACAATCGCCTTTCGTTTTCGTCATCATGACAACCAAGATGACAACATCATGACAATTCGTCATGTTTGTTAATTTTTCTTTTGGTAATTTACCTTTTTTTCTAAACTCTCCATTTTATTGACTTATGAATATGGATAGGGAACAAATTCCTTTGTTCCATATAGGTATTTATATTTTGTTACTTATAATATTAGGTTATACTATTTGTTATTTTATTTGCTGCAGGAGCCAGTATCATCTATTTTTTATATGTATTTTTTATATGTATTCTATATTTTTTGTATGTGGTTGCAGGTTGCATTTTGTTTAAAATATTCTCTTGTTTGTTTTGTATTAACACAGATAGAATTTTTCAGTTTTATACAGTCTTTTTTATTATATTTTAAAGCAATTATGTCGTGTCACTAAAATTTTATAATTTAAAAAATATTTAGTTGTTAATTTTATGTTATGCGTTCCTACCAATAAATAAATTGCGTTATTCAACCAACTTATTTCTTTGTAAAATAAAGTAAACTACTTTGAAATTAAAATGACAGACACATCTATTACTGTGAAGGCTTTTGTCGTTGGTGTACCTAGTGGTTTTATTTTTTTTTTATTTTTTCCAAATAATTTCTGACGTAACGTCGATATTTGGATTAAAATTAATGTTTTTTATCATGAGAAATTCGATTTCGATGTCAATATGACTCCTACTAGTAGTAGGCACCACCTATATGTTTTATAACAGAGAATACAGGATGTCCCAGAAATAAGTGCAAGTATTTTAAGGAATGGTAGATCTCGGTAAAAGAAATATATTTTCTCTTTATCGTTTTTCAAATAAGTCCAAATAACGGAATATAATATTTTACTTTAAAAATTTCCAAAAAAAAAAGATTTTTTGCTCAAATTTTGAGAACCACTGGATCTTTCAGGGATTTTCTTTCTTGTAAATTTAATCTACTGCCTATGTTGCCATATTATCAAGAAATTATGTTTTTTATTTTTTAAATTTATCATAATTTTTCATCAAATTTATTATTTTTGTATAATAACTATCCAGTCAAAATTTCTTGTCAATAATGACTTGTATTAATAATTTCCATTCTTGATATCTTGATGATATCTCAATAAGGTTAATCGTATAAGCAATTTTTACCAGGAGACCTTTTTTTAAGTAAAAAACCTCCAAAAATTTATATTTTTCTACTCAGTAGTTTAACACAGGCACACTTCAAAACAGTTAAAAAAAAGGAATCATATTTGTATTTATTTTATTCTAAAACATATGTGTTTTCTTTTATGGTTAGGTACTGGTATCATTTGTAATTAATTGTATTAAACTGGTCAGCCTATAACACGGTTAGTCGAAGTAAATTTCCATATTGGGGGGATGCACCTAGAAAGCAGGTGGTTTGAATATCCACGTGCCCAACTAGTATATTAACAGCCAGATCTTATCGATTTTTCTGACTAAATATACAAGGCAGATGGACTCGTTTTTTTCCTTAGGCGGCTAGCTTTATAATTAGGTCATATTTTTTCTCCTTTCTTAATTATTTTACTCCTTTTTTGTACTTTAAATAGAGTACAAATATATTCTTAAAATTCATTAATTTCTTATTTAACGGGTGATATTTATTTAATTTTGTGAAAAATAAAACTAGGACAAATATAAAAAAGTTTTTTTTTTTTATTTCAGTACGTTTAAATACTAAATCGAGTTAAATATACAACTTAAAAAACTAACAATTTTAAATTAAAAAGTAACTATCAGTAATCAGTACGAAAATCTATTTGTAGACCTTTTTTAATTACAAAATTTATATAAAAATATAAAAAAGTGTAAATTCGTAGAGAGCGCTAAGTCGTTATTGTCGTGACAAAAAAAAATAAAGACATAGAATTTAGGAAGCGTCTTCCGTCAATATAAAACTATAGAATATAAACAATATATACAGGTAAATATGTACAATAACAATGACTAGAAAAACAAGTGATAGACTCTTCAAAAAAACTATATATATAACATATCACTTCTCACTGGAATGAAGAAGGCACTGGAATTTTTTCACTGGAGTTTTTGCGGAATTTCTTCTGTTTTGATTAGAATTTCAACTGGCCAAACAGCGCTTATAACCTGTAACAAGGAAAAAAAACTATTAGTTAAGGTATGGATGGAAGCAAAATGTATATTCGACCGTTATTCTAACTTGTTTCGCTTAAAAGAACTGGCACAAAACCCCCGAGAAACAAATTAAACGAAGTTTTCGCGCATTTTTCTTTGTACCGTCTCAGACGGTATTGTTCGGGTCTTATAAGAAACTAGTCTTTATTCCCGACCCCTGTCAAGTTGCATTGAAAAGATTCTGTGGTACAAAAAATGAACGGTATTTTGCCCGGGGATAAAAAGGAAATACTAGGGCCACTGCATTATACCGTCAGGTAAACTCAAACAGGTATAAAAATTGGGGTGCAAGCATAAAAAGTCTTTCGTAATAATTTATTCCCCCTGTACACAGACTGGAAATGATTATATATAAAAAAAATGTTGATGAACTTGAACGATCTTTTTTTTTGCATTACTGTGCTGACGGTGAAAAAAAAGAACTGGATACTGCATAAACTGGTTATGTCTAATTAATCAATATTATTACGCTGAGTGAATTCAAACGCTTCATTTCGTCTCAAAAGAGACCGAAATAGCCTAATTAAAAGTAATTACTCTTTAAACTCGAGCTAAGTGGAGAAAAATAGTAATAAAACAGTACTAACCTCGAAGGATCTCGAAGATTATTCTTGCTGCCATGAAAATATTGCGTCTAGAAGCTCTTCGTCTTCTGGACTTTTCGGATCGTAGTTCTCGTAGTTTTCTGGATTGTGATAGAGGGAGGTGGTGTACGCCGAGTTTGCCGAAAACGAGCTTTCAGAAACTTGGGATGGTGTAGGTGATGCTGATGCTTCCGAACAGGCCGGTGTTGGTAACAGAATCGAGTAGGAACCTTGATACAAACTGTTCGATTCCGGGGAACTCGTATAGTACCTTTGGTCACCGACTGACTGATTATCACCCGGATTACTGGACATCTCGCTTTCGTGATCGTCGATCATCTGTTTCAAACTTCTGATATATTCGACGGCCAGACGAAGTGTTTCGACTTTGGATAGTTTCTTTGATGCTCCTCGTCCGGTATTTGGTTGAGGCGATAGCGCTTGAAGAACGGTTTGAGGAATGTGGGATCTCAAAGTGGCGAATCCGTTGTTTACTTGCTTGACGCGGTTTCGTTCTCGTGCATTTCTTCTGGCCACCGATGCAGGTTGTTGTGCGGGAGTTCCGTAAGGCATGAACTGGATTTTTCTTTTACACCTCAGGTCGTTGTTATTATTGTTGTTGTTGTTCGACACCAAAACTGACGTTCGTTCTGGAGCTGGAGCCAAGGGTCTTTTTCCGGAAAGTTGTTTCTGAGCTTGGGACACAATAACACAGTTTCCCTGAGGAACGGAATGCTGGATAACGTTGTACATGTTTTTCTGGCCAAGGGTCATTGCCAAAGCCATGAAATGAAAAAAGTGATCGCGACGCGCGAGAGTATAAATAGAGAACACAAGAGAGAAGCGTGAGAGAGAGCTTTAAGGCACGACGGCTCTAAGAGCGAGCGGATGAATGCTTTCGGAAGCTCTAGAGCTTGCGTTTTCTATCAGGGCCGGTCCCCACCACGCGGCCGGTGCGCGCGTTCGGGGTGGTTGAGGCAACGCGTGCCGGCTTCGCTCCGAAAAAGGCCGAAAGTGGTTCGCAGTAGGATCGGCGGCGGTGGGAGAGAAGGCAGGCAGATGAAGCTGCTGCTGCCGGTGCCGTCAGTCAGTGCACGAGACAAAACAAATGTCTCGTGCGGAATCTTAATTTTGGCAACGGGGAGGACGACAGCTGCCAATGCATCCGCGACGTACGGACGTCGCAAGTGATTTCCATCCGCGGCACTTGCTCGCGATCAACTTGATTCGCTCTCTGGCTCCGTCACTTTTCACTTGCACTAATACAACTGGACGACCGTTCAAAATATTTTCCGATTCAAACCGACACGAATAAATATTTATGCGATAATCTTGGGTTTCTTCCGTCGGTATGTGTAGATCATGTCATTAAATACATTATTGAATTTGACTTAATTGCTATATTTCAAAAAATAATGTTTTTGCATTTCGTTTATACCGTATCGATAAAACGTTTTTCATCAAATTGACTTTGATTTTCACTAAACAAACTTTAATGGAGTGTTTATATATCCTGTACTTTGTAGAAAGCTACACTTGTAGTTGTAGTTGACTTTGTGTGACATCCGGAATAGATTCATCGGCCAGAGCTTCGTAGATCTTGAAGATGTTGCCGGGAAAAGCCTAACGGAAGTCATCCTTTTCTTTAAAACCACGGAAGGATCTCTAGAATTTTTTTGTAATTAAATACATTTTTAATTTCATAAAACAAAAATATAAAAAAATTATATATCTACCAAAATATCTTAAGATAAGAATGAACTTATCTGTAAAGAATATCCTAATTTAGTTAAGTATCATAAAAGTTTTACATTTTTAACATACGCTTTCGAAAATGTTGGAGGTATGTCATTTAAATATGTTTTGTTGAATTGGCAAATTTGATTTGAAGGTATAGATACATTCGATTAAATCTTCATGGATTCTGAATCCAGTAACTTTAATACAGTATATTTTGAGAATTGATGTAGTTTGAGTAATTTAGGCGGCCTCACAGTTCCAACAATATTGTGAATTATTTCCTTGTTCACACAAGATTTTCTTAATAAAATCCGATATTGTTTACACTAAATATATAACTACTATCTAATTATGTTATTAGTTCCTATTTTATTTTTGTTTTCTATCTTTGAAATAATGAATGAGAAATTGTAACATATTTAAATTTAAAGAATATATATGAAACAAAGTAGATTATGGTACAAACTTGGGAAATAGTTATAAATTATAATTAAAAAACATTAAGCCAAAAATGACAAATTTTTCGTTTTCTACATAGTCATGAAAATTGACGATTTACATGACTTTTCAACTCTCGGATGTCCATAACTCTAATTAACTAACTAAAAGACGTAGAATAAGAGAGTATAGGCCCCTTTGACATTAAAATTACGTTACTAGATATATGCGTCTATTATGTATGCGTTTTTCCATCATCAAAATCTACATCCAATAATTAATTTTGTTCCAAATTAAGGCAGTTAGGTTTAAAGAAGGCACATAACATTTCCTACAAATTCAGAATTTTTTATAATTTTATTTTCATCTTTAAAATTTTTGTAAGGTTCTTGCAAATAAAAAATAGCTATTGGTAAAATTTTCGGCTTAATAAAAATTGACGATTTTGGTCTCTCATTCCCTAGTAGAAAGATTATAGAACTAAAGAATTTACACAAAACGGTCAGTGATTCTTCTGATCGAAAGGTTGTGTTAATAAAAAAATACAATGGAAATTTGAAATTCTTTTACAAATAATACTGAATCATTGTATACCACATTCAAAGTAACATTAAACTATTAGATGAACCAGAAGTACATACATATGTAGCTAATCCTTGTTCTGACCAATATTCTTCTTTAACAATTAGTTGTTTACGCAATAAGCTTTCTGTCGATCCTATAGCCAAAATTTGCAGTGTGAAGTTACTGTCGCCATTATCAATCAACTAGCAGAGACTTTTTGACACGATATGTACACTCGGAGTGTGCTTTGAACTTAATTGAACTCTTGTGATTTGATAAATTCACTTGCGATTATTAGTCTTTTGATTTAAAAAATTTATATTTATTATGCTACTCATAGATTGTAAACGATTGAGTTGGAAAGAAATCTCATATAAACTATATAATATGATGTGACCTATAATTTTAAGCATACTAATAATACAGAATTTATATTTTTCTAAAGGAACTTAATAAATAATATACAATTTATTGCACTTTTAAATTAGTTATCAACGATCCACTACCACTGATTTCTTAGAATTTTTTACTGACAATTACCACCATATAAAATTTGATTTATGTTTTATTTATGCTTCTAGGACATTCAAACCGATGTGCGTAAACAATGAAGCCATCAAAAACTAAACCACCAACAAAAATAAACTCTAAATAGTGTGTTTCGTACTTGTTACAATTGCCTGTCATAAATTTGTTACAGGTCTTCACTTCAATTGCAACGCTATGAAAAGAAATAGAGGTCCGGTATAGAGTCCAAGGCCTAGCTAATAAAATCAAAGATTTAGAGCTGGTGAATACTAATTTATAAGCAATAATTAAAGGGCTCATGTATCATAAATGTTAAGGGCCGAAACTGGAGGAAGGTCAGTGAGAGGATTTTTACCTGCCCTTAAATTCAGATGCCAGTTTCAAAATCTGTTCAGAGATGGAGCTGATGTGATCTTTAGATACCATATCTGGTATTATTCTTCACGTTTTATTTACTTTTTGTAATATTTCGTTATTATTAAGTATATCTTGAATTGTCCAGATATTGGTTCCTATGTTAATTTTAGAGTGAAGTTGTAAAGAGATTTTTTAAAGGTCTGCCTATGCTGAATAAATATGGCAAATTTGAACAATTTTGAACAAACTGATTTTAACTAACTTAAGAAAAACTGCATCTACTATTAAATTATAATTGAACAGGTAACAATGTAAATACCATCGTACCGTAAGTTGCCATACTATAATTTTGTCAATGTTAAATTATTGTATTTTCTAAACGTTAAACTATTGCCTCATTCGAACCAGGTTTAAATTACAAAAATATATTACGAGGACACTAAGCGTAGGTACTACAATATAGTAGTGTAGACAGCACAACAAATTACATTTAACCATCGATAAATGAAACAAGTTTAGATTGGAAAGTGTCCATAAGGACAATGTAAATACTAGATATTTGGCGCTATTCTTACAACGGTCGCAATCCAAAGCTTTTGTTAATTTCGGACCGGTTTGGCTTTTTCCGAAATTATGTCGCCAGATACCTATTAGTTAAATTTATTACTATTTTCTTTTAATTTTATAAATAAAATACATTTTTTTCCTATAAGAAACTTTATTTTATACAAAGACCGAGATAAAGACATGTATGAAATACCTATGCAATATTTAAAATCGACTTTATACCACAATAGTTTTTGCAGTTCACAGCGTTTTAATTTTTTTCGATGCCAGTTTTTCGCTATTATCACGGGTTTGAGTAAATAAAATTTAAATTAAACTCACATGTTAGCCATAATTACTTTGAAAATCGACGTTTTAAACACTTTTCGGTATTTTTTCAATGAAGGCGGTTTAAATTTTGAAAGATTTTGTAATTGTTGAAGATTCTGACTTTGTCGGGAGAAAATTGTTTCTGTTCTTGTTTGTGGTTGTTCTTAGTAATGGTTATAGCAATGTTAGATCGCGTATAACATACGCGATCCAAAGCGTTTTGAAGAGCATTCCAATCTAAATTTATTTCCTTTATCTATGCAATTGACAATGATAAGATCATAGGTTGACAACTTGAGGTATGTTAACATTTGATTGGTTTTGCATTGTTACAGTTCAGTTTAATTTAAAACAGACGCTCTTTTACTTAAATTACTTAAAATCGGATTGTCCAAAATTGTTCAAATTCTCCATATATGTATTCAGCATAGGCAGACCATTTTAATGGTCTATGCCAAACCAAACCAAACCTATTTACGACAATATTTGCATGGAATTTCCTATACTTCCAGCGATGATGCCACCACCCAGTATAGTATTTCAAATGTTTTGGAAATTTTAAATCATTTGTATTTGGTTTATATTGAATGCATTTTGTTGAAAAATTTAATCTCGGTCAGCAAAATGGTCATTTGGTCATGATGGAAAATATTTACTTACTGCCTCTGCACCTAGAACTAGGGTTAAAATAGTTTGTGAAAACAACGAACATGAAGGTGACACTTTTCAATTTTTGAATACTAAATTTCGTCGCCTTAGTGAGGCTAAAATCAAATAAGTAGTTCTTGTGCTCCCCAGATTATACAGCTTTTCCAAAATTCGACATTTAGTGAACACCTAAATCGAAAATAAGAACTAACTTAATTTGCATTCCAAAACATGCTGAAGAGCTTTTTGGTTAACCACAAAAGTGTAGTTATTCTTTGTACAAAAAGAATTGTGCGTACAAGGCCGTGGGATATAATACGACTTTTAAGATGTATTGCACTTCACTGGCACATGGACTTCTTTCATGAAAATTTAGGAATAGTCTAAGATAAACACGAGGAACCGTTCCATCATGCCATCGCTAAGTTAGGGAAGATATTTTCAGAGTAGTGGAATTCAAGCATTTGGCGGGGTACTGCTGGTTAGACGAGAGAGTTATACCTCAGAGCATAAATGGCAATAACGGTTGAAATATTATTATTATTCACAGCTAAAAGATTTCTTCTTACTTCTTCAAATTAAATTCATGCCCATAATGCTATCATTTTTATCGTTAAAAATGGTGGCTGTTAGAAGAAAACGGAAGCTATACTCAATTAAGGGCATCATTGGGTGAGTTTTCTACAATGTTCTCTATGGGTATCTCGGAAACTAATGGAGGTAGAAAGTCGGTTAAATGAGGAAAGAATTGCA